CATCACTAATCATCATCACTATCATCATCACTAATCATAATCATAATCATAATCATTATCTTCATCACTATCATTATCACTACCATCACCACTATCATTATCACTATCATCACCGGTATCATGATCACTAATCACAATTATCATCACTAATCATCATCACTCTCTTCATTACTATCATCATCACTTTCATCATCACCAATCATCATCACTATCATCATCACTAATCATAATCATAATCATTATCTTCATCACTGTCATTATCACTATCATCAAATCATTATCTTCATCACTGTCATTATCACTATCATCACCGCTATCATAATCACTAATCACAATTATCATCACTAATCATCATCACTATCTTCATTACTATCATCACTATCATCATCACTAATCATCATCACTATCATCATCACTAATCATAATCATAATCATAATCATTATCTTCATCACTGTCATTATCACTACCATCACCACTATCATCATCACTATCATCACCGCTATCATGATCACTAATCACAATTATCATCACTAATCATCATCACTATCTTCATTACTATTATCATTACTATTATCATCACTAATCATCATCACTATCATCATCACTAATCATAATCATAATCATAATCATTATCTTCATCACTATCATTATCACTACCATCACCACTATCATCATCACTATCATCACCGGTATCATGATCACTAATCACAATTATTATCACTAATCATCATCACTCTCTTCATTACTATCATCATCACTTTCATCATCACCAATCATCATCACTATCATCATCACTAATCATAATCATAATCATTATCTTCATCACTGTCATTATCACTATCATCAAATCATTATCTTCATCACTGTCATTATCACTATCATCACCGCTATCATAATCACTAATCACAATTATCATCACTAATCATCATCACTATCTTCATTACTATCATCACTATCATCATCACTAATCATCATCACTATCATCATCACTAATCATAATCATAATCATAATCATTATCTTTATCACTGTCATTATCACTACCATCACCACTATCATCATCACTATCATCACCGCTATCATGATCACTAATTACAATTATCATCACTAATCATCATCACTATCTTCATTCCTATCATCATCACTATCATCATCACTAATCATCATCACTATCATCATCACTAATCATAATCATAATCATAATCATAATCATTATATTCATCACTGTCATTATCACTATCATCATCACTATTATCATCACTATCATCATCACTATCATCGTCACTGTCTTCACAACCTATTAGTAAAAAGAGAAAACTGATCGGCAATATAATCATGTTTTGCGAATTCATTACGCCGCAATGAAACGCAGTAAAAGTTTAGGAAACATTTTGGAAAGAGGAGTAGCGCAATCAATGTTAATGTTAATTTTCTGTCCGTAGTGCAAATATTGGGCGATATGATGGCGCAAATCCTATTTAGGACAGATAAAAGCCAGTAAACATTACAGCACAAGAAAGCCTTAAAGTTGTGATGGAGCTATGTGCATGGCGTGTGCACAGCTGTTAGCTGATTTACACAAAAGTTGTGGAAGCAGCTTTTACAAGTCACGGGCGGGCGGCGGAACAGGGCGCTGGGCGGCTAGGGTGCAAATAGTCCATCCTTCCTAAAGTAAAAGTGGGGGTGGGGTGCTAAATCCCGTCCCCTAGAAATTGATCGTTGCCTAAAAGGCAAACTGAACAAATTTACAAAGATTGTGATCAATGAAATATTCCTTATTAAGTGAATTATTAAACTAGGTGAGCTTCAGCACCCGTCTGGATCTTAATTTTCAAAGAGGCGCTAAGCCGCCCAAAAGTAAATTAATTTATAGATTATATTTGGGAAACACAAAATATATTTGGAAAATTGATAATATCGTAAATAAAAGTGATATTTTCTGGGAGTTTTTCAATTTTAAAAGTACATGTTACCATGACAAATATTTATACTTCATTTGCAAAATATAGTGGTTTTGCTAGCACAGCAAGGGGTTTCTGCATGCATGCATGCATGTATTTCTAGTTAACTTCAACATAGTGGTCCACGCATGCAGGTGTATCTGCAGTATTTAACAGCGCATAGTAAAAATTAACACCTAATTCAATATCTAATAACTGTCAGTGTTCAGACAGATGCAAGAATTTATGATTTATTTTTTTCTGCTGTGGTGGTATCTGTGTCCAATTTACCTTTCTTGGGTGTTGGTATTGTCGTTGGTATTGGCGGGATAACTTGTTCTGTCGTTGACACAACTGAAATTCAAAATATAATTTTAAGAAATTGCTTTCTATTAAAATTCAACGTTAACGTTTATATATATATGTGTATATATCAAATATTATATGTGCCAGAATATACATGCAGATATAAAAAACGGGGTTCTGCTTTCAATCATAAATTTCGAAAAAGAATAATACAGCTAGCCATTTGTGCATACATTCACTTTAAAGCATTTATTCCGATTTTTCTAACATGTATAAGCTACTTTTCATATTTGATCAATTTGTCCACGAAAAACAATTATTTTATGGGAATTAGATTGGAGAATCAAAATTTTGAGATGCAATACCAAAATAAATCGCCAATTTTATCAACTAACTCCAAAATTGAAGTTTCAGTTCTTCATCAAACCTTAGAAACTACAACTTTTTGTGTGCTATACCAATACCTCATACACCAGTGGCGAGCTAGCCCCATAAACTGATGATACTATTATGCTAATATTTATGCATCTATATAAATTAAAGACAATACATTTCTAAAGGTTTGAATAATGCATTTTAGAAACAAAATGGACACCGTTTTTTATATACATGCACCCTGTAGATATTTTATACATACAGAATTCAGCACCGCCAAGAGTGTTGGGGGCATTTTGCTTCTTCTGTTCTACAATTGCATATGACATCCCTGAGAAAGCTGTGCCAAGGCAACGCGCAACCCCGAGCGTCGGCCTTGCATAAGAGTAAATGACGTGAGGAATTAAAAGACTGGTATATAGAAATAGCCTTATAGTAAAAAAATAGTCCCTTTTGTAATTCTTAAATTGTTCACAAACATCCAACTTTTATAGCTATTCCTGCCACAATGCGTTGCATTATATACCTGGTGTGTGAGTTGTACTGTCCCCATTTCCTAAAAAAGTAAGGATAGATATTGAATTTACATGTCAAGAACATTTATATACCTAGCATATGTTGTAAATAGTAGTATCGTATAGCAATGGGCGGAAGATTAAAATCTAGTGGTCAGAGTTAATGTAAGACAGCATATAATGATTAAAAGATCTACAAGAAAAGCGCTCAACATAGCGAACAGACATATACTGGTAGCGTATAGGAAGTTGAGAATACCTCAATATCAACGCATTCTCATTAACTCTTATCACAATTCAACCGCACACGGAGGGATTAAGTTATCGGAATAAAATCCGTTAATGGTTGAATCGGAAAGACGGGAAAAAAAGCAAAACACTGTTGGTCTACAGGGGAGGTTGGTGGGTGCTCTTCCTTTCCCTTACTCGTCTGGACCTTGCTTTCTTCCACGTACTAGCTTGGTAAAACTAAACTATCCCAGTTTCTAAATCCTCAAGGGCACGTGACCCCTTACACTATTGTTCACAGCCTTTCTTGGGCTATTTCCTCATCCGTTCCGTTAAGTTTTTCATAATTTATATATAGTTAATAAAACTTCTAAATATATTAGTATGAATTGTTATCAGAAAGGAGGGATCAGAAGAAGATGTATCATGGAAACAGTATAGCATAAGCAAATAATCGATAGAAAGAAATATGCGGTATTCTAAACGAGTGTGAACATGAATATATGACCGAAAGGTTTCGTACTAATGATTGACGCAGCGATACTGGGCGGATCGGAATTCAAGACAAGGCCATCATTTGAGAAACAGGCGAAGGATAATTATATAAACGACTAAGAATATTCTAATAAGGATATTATAAATCACGAAAAGTTACAGCAAGAACGGATTGGTTATATAATATTAAAACAGCTAATTTGAAAGGTTATTTCAATCGAGACAATCAACCAAGGTATTAAGAATTGGAAGAAGAAGAATGTGATTTGGACATTCAGTACTGCTCAGAAGTAACCTAATGAAAACACGTTCTGAACGCGTTCCAGAACGCGTTCGGCGAGACCTTCCGAACGCGTTCTGGAAAGAGTTCCTGGTTCAGAACAAATGAATCGTAATCAGTTCGACAATACTCGGAAATTATCGGGAATTTCCGATTTATAGTGTTCCATAAACCATAGAAAAATTTCTTGCGAAGCTAGAGAATCAAACACATTTTACAATGGCAAAGCTCCACTTGTATACATGCAATAACTGCCCTATAAACAGCGTTCCTACAATTTTGATATTCAAAATTGCACAGATTGCACCGTGATAGGCGTCCCTGTCAGACAAATTTAATTGCATATATGATTTGCCACGGCGAGATAAAATGCATGACTAAAATATCTTCTAAATATCATTTATAAAAACGCACGAATATTGCACGTGCCGGAAGAGTTACTTCAGACGAAGTTCTAAGCGAGTAATTAAACGAGTGATTCAGCTAGACTGCAAATTAATCAACGCATACACTGGTAGGCCGTAGGATGAGCATCCAAAAGATGCTTAGAAAACGGATTCCGTTGCACCCCTCGTGTAACTACGTAATTTTCACATGAATAAATAGATAAAAACTTACTTTATCAGAATCCGTTGCTCCCCAAGCGAAACAGGTGCACATTTGGGAGAAAAATCCCTCCAAAGTTTGATATTTTCGCGCTTCGAAATATTCGAACCGCCATTGTTTTGATAGCAAATACGCATGCGCAACTCACCCAAACTCGCACTGCGCACGCGCATAACCAACGCACATGCTTCGAAGTGGAAACACGCCCAGTTATGCAAATAAACATGGCTGAAGATATTTATAAAACTCGAATATCCTCATGTTTTATGCATTTTGATGGCGTTACGGAGCAACTTTGCATAGTTACACGCCAAAGGCTTAAGAAATTTCTTGAGTGTAGGTCAAAATGGGCCAAACTTAAATGTCAACAAGCTGATATAGCTAAGAAATCGGTACGAGAACATCGATGACGGATCTGTCAATTCATACATGGAGAAGAACCCTGACACCATTAACTTAGAATGGAACCATCATATGAAATGCTGGAAGAGATTTTGTGATGAAGAGAAGATCTGTAGATAACAGAGAAAAGAAGAAAAAGGAGAAGGAACTAGCTGTAAAACTGTAACTTCTCCCGAAGTATCACACGTGGAAGTGGAGGACAATAGAACCAAGGCGAAAAATTACACGTCAATCAGTCTCAGAAGCTATAAATATAAAGGCCCTGCCTAAAAGAAACGCGCATGTACTCCCAGAGATATGTATTATTTGTGGAAGAGACGCCTCGTGGTTCTCACTAGACAAGGTATGGTCATTTTGATAGGTATAATACTAGCGCAATGTGCACAACATTCTCAGGTTTGGTTTTAAAATATATTGAATTGTGATCAATAAAGTTTACTTAGGGTAAAGTAGTTTCTATGCTACAAACATCTAACCTTGTTATTAGTAGATATTTAGTTTAATAATTTATTTTGTTTCACACAAGGCAACTTTAAAGAAGAGAAGAAGAACCCCACTCATGTTGGCAGAAACAATTGATGCTGGTCTTCTACGTACAGCTGCCGAGAGAAAGAATGATCAACGGATACTCATATAAATCCAGGGGAAAGACTGTGTAGCTCTGGAAATCCGCTATCACAAAGTTTGCTACTGCAATTATACAATATTTCTCACCAGAGAGACGAAGAAGCAACAAGAGCATCAGTGTACGAGAAGTCTTATGATGTATTCTGTAAAAAAGTAATTGAGATGGAAGTCATCTGAAATAAGCAAATAAAGTATATGAAAGAATCAAGATTTGCTGGAGAAATTTGTTATCATTCCTAAGGACACTGAGAATGTGGATGCATCTAAATATAGAGCTTTTAAACTCAAGCAATGACTGATGAAAAGTTATCCCCAATGTGTGTTCTGTGTACCGAAAATGAGAAATGTTAGTGAGATTGTATTTGTGGAAAATTTGGATTCTTCTGAATTGGTTGAGGAACATATGTCAATTAAGGGCCTGTTTAAATGGAAGTCGGGCTGGCCAGCTTAGCGACACAGCCCGGTAAGCGGGATGAATTTCTCTTGTGTTTATATGGGATACTTTCACCCTGTTTGCCGGGATGATTTTGTTACATTGTATTGTTTTGACAGTTGTTAAAAATAGATTGCGGCGGTATCTTTGAACTTTCATCCCGGCAACCGGAATAGCCCTCTTGTAAATGTTTATATGGAGAAATTTCCATCCCGGTAAGCGAGATCTAGCCTCTTTCAAACGAGATCTCTGCAACCGGGCCAGCCCGCTTGTCCATATAAACACA